CCTGTGTGCCCGGAGTGTCCGGGCACCCAGGTTAACGTATGGTTTGCTTCTTTGCTGATCTGGGTTCTGGCGTAGAGCTTGTATGCTGCTAGTCCAACTCTTCCCAAACTTGTATTGGTGATGGCTTTCTTGGAGTCGCTTGTGACGATGGCGTACATTTCTCCTCTTCTTGCTGCTTGTACTCTCGCAAGGGTGATGGCTGCTTCCTCGGCTTCCTCTATCGACTTGGCGCTGATTGTGGCCATTGAATCTTGTCTCGCATTGTGTACTGCTATTACAAATTTTCCTGGCCTGCCTGGATAGGGTCCAGCATCGGCGTGGAAGATGTGCACCTTTCCTTCGTGCAGCTTGTTCAGAGCTTTGGCTCTAGCTAGCCTTCGTCCTGAGTTGTGCGCCGAGCTCATATTCTTCGGAAGGGGAATACTCCGTACTGTGTCAGTCCATTCTTGTCGTATAGAGTGTTTCTCCTGCATTTCCTGGTCCATTAGCAAAACACCTATGTCCTGTAGGACCCGCCTTCTAGTTCGGGTTTGTGATAATAGCTGGATTTGCACCTGTCTTTGTGCCTTTCTCATTTCATCGAAAGTGTTGTGTATCCCCATTTGATCGAGGCCGTCGTTGGATGTTTTCTGACTAATCCCCAACGCAGCCTTGAAAGATCTTCTTATAATGACATCTAGGGAGTCTTCCTCTGCCTTCTTTAAGTTCATGTAGGGTGCAGCGTACATTATTCTACTTAATGTGAAGGCGTGCACCAGCCTACACGTTCCACTTTCTTTGAGTCCGTAACTTCTTTTGGATGTAGCGGTGACAGCTTTCAGCGCACCGAGAGGCGCACTGCCGAAGCTGGGGGAGCGCCAATCAAAAGGCGTGAACACATCGAAGTAGGCCACGCTCCCTCGCCCCTCGGTTCACTTCCAGGCGGCGCAGCCTGTACCGCGAGCCACGCGCTCCTGTGTTCGCATTTCATTTTTCCCCGATAGTACAGTTATAGCATCTTCGATCAACTCGCACCGGAATCGCCCTGAAACCAGCACAGTGCACAGCGCTCCTCGGTCGTGCAGCGCGATGTCGGTGCAACATCGAGGACAAACTGCGCCGCGCCGGTGCACCGCGGCGAGCTCCACCTTGCGTCACTTCGCGTTTTGTTCGTTTTTTCTTGCGTAGGTCAGCGCACGGTGCCCGTCTGCTGTCAATTTCTTCTATTTTTTACTCGCGGATTTGACGGTCCCACAGAAATAAACATCGTGGACGTGATTGTCGATGGGGTCACGAAGCGGGTGACAATTCCACATGTATATGTTGGCCATCATTATTGGTTCAAGAAAACGAAACGCCAGATAATAGCCGTACCTCGCTGTCATCGAAACGCCTCGCGCCGCTTTCCACGAAGTTCGTGCTTTTCGGGCGCTCCTTGCCACTGCAGCAATCGCCAGTAATCGCGGCGATGGTGAGAAGCTCGTCGTCTCGCCGTCAGAAGACCCGAGGAAATCATCTAGTGCAGCTGCGAGGCGCGTTCGTTTTTGCAAGATCGCCATCTCGATAGTCTGCGCGTCTGCTACTCCCGCCATCTTCTCGATTCCCGCTCCTGGCCGCAATGCCTGATGGGACTGCCCCCCGGCGCACCGCCGATTTTCTTGGTGCGCGTTGGGGCAACGAAAAGCCGCACCGGGAGGGTGCGCTTCGTTGATCGAGGACGTCCGGTGCGCACCGGTGCACTTGATCGAAGATGAAGGGGCGCACCTCAGTGCCCCGGTGCGCACCGGTGCGGATGATCGAGGATGCTATTAGTTACTCCAGGCGACGTTATGGTGAAGTGTCATCCAGATGCTGAGCTTCAGTAGACTGTGGTTACCATTGCAGCCGTCCCCAAAACGGTGGCGCGTCGAGCGATGGGAGGCGAACGGTGGGGGAAGAGAGGGGTACCGCTAGCATGAAGCAGCGTCCATGGGCAGTTCCATAACTGCGTTTATCTAGTTACGCTAGCGGATGCACAACAAGGTACTGTTTTGACCGTGCGGGGTCCGTGGTGGTGGAGGGGCGACTCGAGCCAGGCACCGGGCTAGAGCTCAGCAGGGACAACGATAAGTCACGATCTTTCTCGAAAAGTATACTGTTTATTTACATGATCTACAGTTGGTTCAAAAACAGAGAAGACTTGCCAAAGTTCGCTCATTTTAAGCACTTCGTTCTCCCTGGGTCTCTAGGGAGAACCCCTACATCGGCGGATGGTCGGCCAATCACAGAAAAGTGTACCGTTCAAACACCGCCCCACATTTCATTATTACGCACACTAAGCCGCAGTAAACACTTCACCGTCGGTCTAGACGGCGCCGAGAGTCTCACCAAAACACCTGCTCGTTGGTATCCACGCAGAGGGGCAAAACATCGTCCGGGGCCGAGACGCGACGTGCCGTCATTCGACTCTTCGTGTCTACGCGTTGAATGAAGGCGTCCTGATGATTTCATCGCCCCGGATCGTGCCCTGGTGTTTTGGTCGTGAAACCTGAGACGTTGTTTTCGCTCTACGGAGTATATATCCAGACTTGTACACGTTAAAGTCTGGCTATATCACGGCGCCCGTCTGGTGCTTTCGCGGGGCAGGCGTGCTTCCGAAGCGATGATTGCGCCAGGCTCACTGAGTCAGATGACCTTGAAACCGCGGGAGGCTCTCGACGAAAAGAAACGGCCAGATGCACACATTAGGAAAATGGTCCGGGGGCCAATCAAAGTATACGATGTATGCCAGACCCAACATTGTCACCCCGAGGCTTCACGCAAAATGAACCATCGCCAAACGCTTTTTTAGCTTTAAGAATTTAGGTAATCTTGCGAGGTTCAAGCCACCCTTGAGTGTGTAAATTGTTTGTCGCATTTGTTTCCCTTTTTGGTTAGTTTCATGACTGATTGTGCAACGGCATTAAGCATTATTGAAAATGTGCGGTTTCCGGGAACTACGTCATGCCTCCTAATTACGAACGAGTTAATACGGACATCCCGGTATAAAGACAGAATTTTCGGGTCAAACTGGGTAAATACATGCACTTTTGTCTCGTTATTGTGGAAAACTCGCATTGGTGGGTGCTTTTGGGGGGTTACCGGACGTGCCCACATTAGTAAAATATCAGTTTTTTTTTTTTTGTTTTTTTTTTATGAGGCTCCGATTGTCCGATGGCGTGGACATTACCGCGGATAGACCTCTTAAGGCTAGCAAAAAGTTGGAGGACGAAAACAAGCACCAACGTCAAAACTAAAGCTCGTAATTTCTTATCTGACTTTCTACGAGTTTATAGACCAACACGGGGCTCTGACGTCACGCCTCTGCGGTGGCGCTGTCGTTGCCACGGGGCATGCGCAGACGCTTCACCTCACGGGAATCTGCTTACTGGGCAAGCGCGGGCTTGTTTGTAAACAGAGTGTCGGTCTATACATGATAGTTTGTCACCCAGTAGATAGCGGGACTTTTAGGCATCTACGGTCGGGATGTACTCTAGGGGGTACCTTTCTGCGGGTGAAGTCTCAAGCGGCAATAAGAAATATAGAGCGCCTGAATTAAGAGATTATTGAACATCGCAATCAATGATCATTGGTAAACTGTTATCATGCGCGTGAGGAACGCCATGTTGACGATAATTGCTTTCTAAAATCAGTTGACTCACAAAGTTGTTTTTTGTACGCAGCCCTTAGGCGCCCGCTCCCGGGTTTCGCGACGTCGGTGTCGGAGCCGGCGTAGCCGCCCCCCTAAATTTAGCGGGAAATTGAATTGGTGTCGAGGTCACGTGACGTCGGTTCTTTCCGCAAAATTTAGGGGGGTAATAACGTCAGACGGCTTTGCGTCACGGCACCCATGAAGAAATTCAGTTTCTCCACTAGATTTAGCGGGGAAATGAACGTCACGTGACCTGAACAGCAATTCAGTTCCCCGATAAATTTAACGAGAAACTTGACGTCACGTGACCACAACACCAAATCAGTTTCCTCGCTAAACTTAGCAGGGAAAATAATGTCACATGATTGGGTGTCACGTCACCTATGAAAAAATTCAGCTTCTCCGCTGGGTGTAGCTTGAATATTGGCGTCACGTGAACTCAACAGCTATTCGATTCCCCGCTAAATTTAGCGGGGAATTGAACTGACGTTTAAGTGACATGGTGTTAATTTTTTAGCTAAATTTGGTGGGGAAACTGTGGTAGGAGGGGAACATATGCAGGAGGACGATGGAAAGGTACGGAGGAGAAGGAGGAAAGGAAGATGGAAGTACAAGGATGAGGAATAGGGGAAAGAAGGAAAGGAGGGGAGACAAGGATGGAAAGAGGAGGAGGAGAGGAGGAGCATACCCTCCCCTCCTCCTCCTCAAGAGCTGCGGTCTAATTTCGTGTTGTAGATATTTGTAAACGCAGTTTGCTGTAAAAGTGTTTCCACCCAAGAATATTCTTTTTTATTTTCGCCGTAATCTAAATATCTGCATTTAATGCTTATCAAGGAATTGTTTTATTTTCTTTTTTTTAAATGACAGAGCATTTCTATTTGACTCGTCCTTTTAGCCCGAACGTTTGGACAAGCTGGGTCTAGAATGCAACATCTTTCCTTTTGTGCTTTAAAAACTAATTTAGTTTCTAATGTCACATAACTGATCTAACTTAATATTAAATCGACCACTATGGTCGTCGAGCCTATACCGCAGGCTTGGTCGTGGTGGGTCTCTCTTTCCTCTCCCGCCGCATTTGATACCTTTGGCCAGGGTCCGTGCTAGCTGGTGCCAAAAGCCAATGGCATGTGCTCTCCACGTGAACCGTGGTTGTTGACGAGGAACCCCCAGTCAGCGTGATGTAGCCGAATTCATCACAAAACTACTACTTTCACGCGAGCGCATCAAGAGACAGATCGAAGCACTGAGAACTCTTTACAACTTTATTTTGTCAAACGTTTTGCTGCAAGAAAAAAACAATTGTGGTACCTCTAAGAGAATTACACCAGCACTAGATATTTAAAGGCCTTCACAATACCCTTCATATCGACAATTTTCCTTGCACAACACTGCACAGTGTAGTTTCTTGCGGTCGGCGATCATTGACTGGTTCCCACCGAATCCGGATTACGAAGTTTTTTAACGAGGGCGGTGAGGGGCCGTTCCAGGTTCTCGATTCTTTCTTGCAGCCCCTTCAAACAAATTGGCAAATGTGAATCATCAGTACCACGCACTTATACTCTCAGAACAGAACGTAAGGGCTCATGTGAGCTAGTGAATACTGAACATTTTGAGGCAACCCGAGCCTTAGGAAAGACGAAAGTTGACACCGAGAGAAAGATAAATACTATATAAATGCTATTTCTCGAAAAGCGGGACCAATCGTTACTGCTGCGAAAAGTACGCACCGCACAGAAAGATAAGTTTGTCGTATTGGTGTCTACCAAATGGCCATTTCGGGAAAAGGAATAGCGTTTCGTATAGCAAGGTTGTCATTACATTGAAGGAATAAACCTTTTATGGGTAAATTTGAAAGTATTTATTGAATTAGAAACTTTGTAGGCGCCATCAGAAACAACTAACGGCTAACTCTATAGAGCGAACCAAGACACGAATTTCGCCCGGCCGCGTTCGCTCGCATATGGTTCGAAATAGTGTCTGTCCGTCGCGTCGCGCGCTAAGTTAACGCTCCGCCAGGTGAAGTTCGCCCGTTCTTCGCCGCATATTCGATGCAGGATCATATGGCATGCAAAGAATTTTACAGCATTCGAAAATACACTCAGTTTGTAAGCGTTTGAATGTTAATTTTTTTTAAATGATATTTATTAAGACATTTCCGCAACAGCGGTCCTGGTCCACTACGGCCAAAGCGCGCAACCAACGTGGTCCGAAACGCATTCTTGGAATGGCGCTTGTGAACTTAAGGATCAAAGCGTATTCTTGTATTGTCATTCGAACAGCACAACGTTTCAGTTCGCCGACTCGCACCACACTTCTCTCTCTACGAGAGATAGACGAGACAATAGTCGCGCGCTTGAGTCACGGGTAGCAGAACCTCAGGCGCGAACATGCACTCCGACAGAAAAGCGAAACCCAGAAATGCGTTTAAACTGAGTAGAACCCGCTGATTTTGTGGTTTTCGATGATGCAAGGAAAGATTACAGATGAAACCAGTACGTGAAATTTCGTATTTAAATAGTTTATTACTGAAATGTTATAAAGAATTTAATTATACCAGACGTTCTTAGGTTCTTTCTACATATGGCTCTTGGCAAACACCAACGTGAAAAAAACGCTTTCAGTGCAATGCCTACTTTTCGTGGGTGAAATTTGGCCAACGGCTCGAGGAACACCCCGTATACGAGTGCACTAGATACACCACTAACCGCCTATACAAGGAACACTACAGAAAAAAAATTATGAGCCATTCCACTTTGTGACGGTGGATCAGCAGCGATGCTGTTTAGCACACGACACAGACGTGGCACAGTATTTTGAACAAAGGTACGAACACATTTATTGTCTCGATCGGTGGTCATTGTGACGAAATGTACGCACAGCCATGTCGAGGACTATCGCCGCCCCGAGAAGCCGGAGGAAAATAGACGCGCGCGACGGGACCGCCACCCGGCGGAAGGGAAGGAAACTAGGCACGCAAGCGCTTGGAACAACTACAAAGAGAGGGCGGTGCGAGCCCTTTTTGGAATTTTGTTGACGCACACGAAATAGACTCACGCGGCGGAACCACCACCCGGCGAATAGAAAGGAAACTAGGCACGCAAGAGTTTGGAACGAGGACAAAGAGAGGCCGCTACGAGCCCTCCCGAGTTTTTGTTGACGCACACGAAAATTCCACGGGAGCCTAACCATAAGAAGATTCGCTGCAAAAAAAAAAAAGTATACTCACAAGGATCACTTGATTAAGAAGTGCATTGTGTGGGTGCTTCTCATGTACCTGCATCTCTTTCCTTGGGGCCTTAAAACGGTTTTTGAAAATAGCTTGTAATATGAGCAATATATAGTGGTTACGCATTAGCAATATAAAAATCGCGGAGAATAGGAAAATAAACTTCGCAATTGAAACAATTTCCGTAGAACTACCATCCCATTTTTTCATACACACCGAACTTAACAAAGTCGCTTGGTTTCCCTAGACAGAGTATTTAAAACTTGCGAGAGTTTAGAAGAAACTCCGTCAAGCGACAACAGACTGCTTCTTTCTCTCCCTCCCCCTCTCCCCTGGAAAATAAAGTTCAAGTTGAAGTTTAATTTATTTGCAAGCCATAAGATGTTTCTCCTTTATTAGAGATAGGCGCGGTTGCTTCATTTGCCCCGACAACTGACATATTCTTCGTTAACTACAAGGTATATGCTTCGGTAACAACGAGCATTTTTGTGGTGCCGACAACCAAAAAACACTATATTTAGCCATATGCTTTCTCGATAGCAAGGTATATTAGTCTAAATATTTTTCACATATTTGTCGGGGTTTAAGGAATGTATGTGCGCTTATCTTCAGACGTATAAAATGAAGGCAAAATGAATGACTAAAAAAGAAATTGACTTGTTGGAAATGAATGCTAAAAAATATTTTATATATTTATATACCTGTTTTAATGCAGCTAAAGTATTGGCACTATAATTAACATACGTTTATGTTGCGAAGCACAATATACTCACTTTCTCGTTGCATCCAAACTCTTTGAAAGCACATCCAATCAAAGCCTCTTCGCAGGTTTCAAGGTGCGCTTTTTTCTGCGAGATCATAATTAACGAGGCTTAGCTATTAGGAGGCTTAACAGGCGACATCTTATCTACAGCGTGCCACAAAACAAAGTACCGGGGATTTTTTCACCGCAAAAAATCAATCGCCGAACGCCCAGTGTCCGGCCAAATAAAATGCAGCGCTAGCGGTCCGTACCAGGCTTCAATTTTCAGAACTAACCATTATCTTATTCAAAAGTTAAGTGATTTCCTGAAACTTTCAATGAGAAAACGGAGGTTATTCTCCGTAGTTTCCGCCATTCAGGTCCCTGTATTCACGAAATCGCAAATATATGGTTGTGCTACTAAAAAAAAATACGTGGACAGGAAGGTATACACGACGTTTCAGGCGGACGCCGTTCTTGAAGAAGGACGTCTAACTGAAACGTCGTGTATACCTTCCTGTCTAAGTATTTTTTTTAGTAGCACAACCATATATTTGCAATTTTGTGTCTAAGCTCATTGTGCTCGGCAGCGCCCCCATTTCTCTTGGATACTTCCATGTATTCAAAGGCGTTTTTGGTCACCATTTTACCGTTGTAAATTTCCGAAAACATTAAACACTTTTTTAACTTGTGCCTCTGGTTCCGGACGCTAGCGCTACATTTGGGCGGGAACTAAGCGTTTGGCGATGCGTAGTTTATTTTTTAACTAAAAGACACGTCATAGCATTTCGTATATTTCCAATTATTTTCAAGCAGGCCATAATGTACATTTTTTGTATCGCACATTTCGCGAGCACGGGCCCAAAGAAATATGTCCGCTCTTCAACATATGGTACATACCTATAGTATGAAGGATATGAAACATTTTCGGGGACACCCTTTATAATATTGTCATTATTTGCAAGACGCGAGGAGCTACCACTCTCGGTTTTAATGCTTTGGCATTTAGAAACGCGAGTGCCAGCCTAGCATTGCCTTGATTAGGTGCAAGTTACTCGAGTGCCAGCCTCTCGTCTTACCCAGTAGATGCCCGGTTACTCCCGTGAAGTCTGAAGTCACAACACATAATTAAGCAGACGCCAACAACGCGCTCTTCTCCTATAGGAGAAATAGCTACAGGAAAAGTATGGATAGCTTGCTCGTTTAGCACGTTCTGCAGCACGTACTGAACGAGCAAGCTATTCAGGCTCTGAGCGTTTCTGCCGAGCAAGCCAACGTTTATTTTTTTATTTTTTTATTTTTTTACTTCGGAGCGCCTCCTGGATAGAGCCGTTCACGAGGAGTTCGCGACACGGCGTGAGTTTAATCTTCTCCGTTCTTTTATGTCTCGCTCCCGAAGTTGTGATACTAAGGTTGCCTTGGCAGCCAAAACTGCGGCGAGGCGATCGAATCTAGCTCGACGCTGCATCATATCCTGTATTATTAATTATTAATTATTATTATTGTTTTTGTTACTGTTATTGCTGCTATTGTTACTGCTATTGTTATTAAAAGGTTATGAAAGGCGTGCTTATTCATATGCTTAATGCTTTTGTTATGAGTTGCGATATTCCGTAAGAACTAAAAACCACCATTGTAAGGCCCTCGTTCAAAGGTGGAGCAGCAAATCAGATTGAAGACTACCGCCCAAATCGCTCACAACGTGTTATTGCAGAAGATTCACGAAGTCCACGAACAATCCTGAGAGCAATTCTACCTCCACATCGGTTTAATTTGTTGGTTAATGATATTCATACATATATTTATGAGGCCCAACTCTATTAATATGCAGACGATACTGTCATTGTCAGGCGTCATATTAATTACGAAGATGCTGCCCGATCAATGCTATGCGCTGCGACTAGGGTCATGAAATGGTTTCAACAAAATCTTATCGCCATGAATGTAAATAAGATTAAAATATTTTTCCTCTTAAATACGTGCGACTGAATTTTTTTCCTTATCTTAGATCACTCAAAATGCGTACCTTGCAAATGTCTTGCTTTTGTATATCTTGAAAGTTTAAAATACCTTGACATTGTTTTTGACTGTAGTTTAACCTGGAGTATTCAACTGATATCTCTTTGTGCAAAACTGAGGAGTGCCTGTTGCCTGTAATTACAGACCACTTATGCCTTTTCAGTACGTAATTTAATCATTCATGCGCTTGCATATAGTGTATTAACAAGGTTACGGTGTTTGGACAATGTTCCGGCTACTGGCAAGTCGAGGTAGATTGCATTTAAAGAAATATATACTGAAAAGTGATTTCTATATGGCATGCAAATTTCTGACGGTACTATCTTGTTTAACTATTTAATATTGCCACTTTTTTGAGCACTATTTATTCAAACCGTTGTTCTACGCCACTTTTGGTCAGCGATTTAAAAACCAAAGACCCTTCACTTCGAACGCTCCGTTTTCAATATACTTTCAAATATTCCTTTGTCCGGACTTAAAACGGCAGGCCCACACGCGAATATTATGTACGAGATGTCGTCAATAATTTGCGTTCTAAAATTCTGCAGGCTAACTGGCTGAGACTGCTGAAGGAAATTATAAAAGTTTATCTTTTCTAACGGTTATGCTTCCTAATGATTTTTATACCTAGCATGTGTCAACTGCGTACTATACTTGGCATCTTGCTTTTTTGTTTTGTCTTCCAAACTGCTTTCAACCTGGCTTTTGCAGATTTCTTTGTACGGCAGTTACTGCTTTTGTTGTCGTAGATGCTAGTACTATCATCTTTATAACGTTTAGTTGGGCGGCGTCACACATGCCTTTAATGGCATTATTGCCCCGCACTCTTGTGTACCTTCATGAATGTTCCTCAATACAAATGACTATGACTATGGCTATGACTATTACTATTATTATTAATAATAATAATACGAAGAAAAAATAACCTTTAATTTCCTTCAAAAAAGTAACTTACCGCTGCCTTGGTCACTATTGTGGAGGAGAGAAAAGGTAATTTTCCGAATGGAAGCTGCACCTAATGAATCATTTGATACGCCGAAAATAAATTTTCAAGGTTGCACAGATAAATGCTTCTGGTGTCAGTACTAGATAAACAATGAACTCTGATGTACGCAAAAAAAAAAAAAATTGAAAGTATTCTATGCCGCCCAAACAACCTAAACATGGCCGTGTTTATTCTCCCGACAGACGGCAGAATCCGCGAAATTCTACCGGCAGCCACTTCCCATTGGCTGTCAGAAACTACGCAACGACTGCCGTTAGAATACCAAGTTTCTTATTGTCCCTTCATTTCGAGGAAACATGTTTCGTGGACAACGTTTTGCGGATACAGGTTTCATGGACACGTTTCAATGACACAGGTTACTCGAATTCCAGGGACATTTGGTCGCGCGTCACTGGAGGGCGTGATAACCTACTCGGCCCACCCGTCAACGCCGCTTGGCAATGACAGTCCGGGGCGGCTCATTAGAGAAAAAAAAACGAATTCGAGCTGTCGGTGAAATGACCTATTGATGAAACAGTGCTCTTAGAGCAAACGATCTGTCCATGATTGAAACGTTGATTTATGAGCTAATGGCCGCTGCCAACAGGAGGCGACTGCCGGTAGAATTTTGGGGAATTTATTATCTTTGCTGCCGGAAGAATGGACACTTTCTTTTAACATCGTAGTCTAAAAATCAAGCCAATTGTCAGCTTTGACATTTATAGCCCATACTCACTTCATCGTTGCCTTTCAGTTCCAACGTGCAGTACTCGCAAGCAAGTTTCTTTTTTTCACACTGCTCCCTGTGCTTCTGTAATTAAATATATAGATCAGGTTATCAAGAAGAATATAAAGCATCAACTACAATCCTCACTGTCACCTTGTCTATAAAACAAAACGAAGAGCTTCTAGCGCTACCAGTTCATCTTAATTTCTTGTGAACAAACTTAACTTTAAAATACGGCGGTCAAGGCACCGATTTGTAGTTCAACTAAATATTTTCGTTTTATTTGTTGCTTTATTGCTTTCAGGCAGAGTTAGATTGCTGCTACCTTTATGATATTAATACAGACAGACGAACATTGCATTCTAAATAAATATTTGTCATTTGAAAACGCTATGCACAATAGAAATTATAAATATTTCGAGCAAGCACCTTTTACTTTCATATCCTTTTACTTATTTAGAAGTGTTCAATTTCTTAGTACGCCTTATCATTCGATTCTAATAAAATAAAATATATTACAACGAATGACGCCTCTACATTAAAAGCTTCTTTTGCCAACAGTGTTTGTTTGTTTCTTTTCGAGAGAAATCACTCGCTGAAATTGATTCTAGACTATAATGTGTCAACATTGCTTTACGTCATCATTGACTAGGCTGTAAGAAATGATTGGTTGCTCGGCTTTACTACAACAATAAATGGGAAACAAAAATATATTTTTTCAGGTGTATGAAGTATCTGTGGTTAATATTTTAGACTCAAGCGCGAATGTAACAAGTCAGAGACGGCAATTAAATATTCCGCCATGCTTCACGCTCCAGCTGAATTTTTTTTTTTTAACTAAATATATATTTTATCTTTTAAATGTAAAGCGTTGTCTTTTGTATAGCTTACGCCGTACCATATAAACTTTAAAGAAAGCCAAAAATTACAATAAGTACCACTCCTTGAACTCAAATGAAACCATCCAACCATGTTGTGGTATGACAGCTTTTTGTCTGTATTTCACACCGTGACCTCACTCTTTCCTTTTTGACGCATTGTAGAAATTGTGGTGTCTAGTATCAGCGACCACGCAATTAATAAATTCCCATTATATCGCCTTCACTTTAGAATCGGTAAACGTTTAAACACAAGTGTACCTTAATAAATAAGGTCAAAAATATATAAACATATATTAAGATCTATTTCAAATATAGACCTTCGCAAAAATCGACTTCTGCGCGCAGCCATCTTTGTCTGCTGGGCTGTGGAACGCCTTCTGAGCATGCGCTGTTGGTCTGGCGTGTGGTACATCGAACGCTGCGCATGCGTCCACAGCTCACTGATTCAGCATTTTTCGCCCGTGTGATGAGCGATGGAAAGGTCTATAGATAGTTATCTGCTTATTAGCAGACCTTTTTTGTATTTTGCGTTAGCACGTTTGCGGTACAAACCACGTGACTATGACAATGTATACGAAAACCCACCACGAACCACTATGCGGTACATGGAACGCGCCTCCGACTGGAGTGCTTCCCGCGTCCTAAGAAGTAGTCCGTCCACTTCCGCCTGATGACGTCACAGAAGTGTCATGTTGTCGCCGGGTGCGATCCTGGCGGTGTCACAGCAGCGCTTGAAAACATGGCAGACGACTGTTCTGCTGTAGGTTGCTCTCCGCCGTGGCAGTGGCACGGAAGCTTTGGCAACCAGGAGTTGAATCACCACGACGCCAGCGACACTCGCCTTCACCCGTATTGCCGTTACTTGTAACACCAAACGCCAGCCTCGCGACATCCAATAACAAGAAAATTTGACTTTTGTGACGTCATTTGTTACTTCTTCGGGAGGACTTTGGATGTCAGGGCGGGATAGGACCCTAAACACACCAGTCCAAGTTGCTTTCCAGGTACCGAGGTAGAACCAATCGCCGAATTATTCCTCACCTTTTCCAAAGAGTAAAGGTAAAGTCCATCACAGTTCTCGCAGCACACAGCACGCATTGGGCACTCGGAGGCGTGCTTGGACTGATCTTTCCGGAGTACCTCACCCTCACAGTCGTCGCAGACCACTGATTTCTCGAGGCATTCTTGGTCATGGTCCTTCAAATTGTGATAAAAATATAAAACATGCTAAGTACTACGTGCACTATTTTTCCCATACATGCCGGAGTAGGGTTAGACATTATAAATATAAAATCGCCTTATTAATGACAAGGCCGTCTAGAATATATTTGTCTTTACTTGCATAGTTTATCATCACGCGCCTTGTATTCGTCATTGGAACTTACACCCGATAACTGTTGTCTAATTATCTTTACAATGTCGCTTTTTTTTTTCGTTTGTTCGTATGCAACCAGGTATTTTGTTTTGGTTATGGATGCAATGTATTAGGTAGAAATAGAATCTATCACAAGATATTATGACACGAAATCACGCTCGACTGTTTTTAATATCTTTTTCTTTGGTTCTATTCTTCAAACATAGGTATTTACGCAGGTGAGCCGGTATAGACTTTTGATACGTAGTAAAAAGAGGGAACAATATAAAAGATAGAGAAATAGTATCAGCGAATATATTTTGACCTTATGAGTTTATTCGAGATACCATATTATAATATACCGATCAACAATGCTGTCCAAAATGCAAACGTGTTTAAAAACGGAGTAGTGCATATTCATATATTGAAAATATTCTTTTTGATTAAGAGTGCCGCCAACAAATTCCACTGAGCGCAGATATTGATTGAAACAAATACTAATGTTGAGCAAGTCAGCATCATGAACTAAGGAGTGTAGGTATACTCCAAATAAAATAAATGTATGCCCCACACCATGACAATATGCAGGGTGCTTAATTTCAATTCGAACTCTTGTGTGTAAAAAGGGAGTGAGAGTTGCATGGTTGCCGTATCAGCACATATTTCTCATGCTCGACGAAGACTATTTGGCGGAATACGAGTCACTGTAAGTTGGCTACTAATTAACATCTGCTGATTATATTTTTCAATGTTGCTTCTCTGAGGCACGTTGCTATTGCGCTATTGGTGGCAATTACTATTAAGGGCTACACCAATTGAAAGAGTTTGCTAACAGGCAATGGTTTCTGGAGTCATCGATTAGTTGTCGCAATCTTTCGCTCGATCTTAAAATCGGGCCCAAAAAGGGCGCCCGAAGCCCTGCTCACATTGACGCTTAGAAGAGTGACCTAGTCGTCTCAATTACGTTGTCACTGGGGTTATTCTTTTTTGACCTGTACCAGCCTGCACCGCTGCAGAAAAGTGCGAGTTAATGTACTTCCTTTGTTTTGAGATAGGCTGCACCCTTAAATTGAATACGACGGTCTGCTCAAAGTGCAACTGGCGCAGGTAAATCGAACGAGGCCACTATCTCAGTGGCGTGTCTTTGAAGAAGGGGCAGACAACACACTGTTGAAATACATAGAACATGACTGAGGACTATGTCACTCGTCTGAGCGCCATCGTAAACCGGTCATCGGGCGTTTTTTTTTGTTTTTTTTTCTTGTCTTAGTACTATTGGGATCTTTTCTTCAACAAAACATGAAGGAAAGAGAAATAAAAATATTTAAAAAAACTTGCGGCTGAAGACATATTGTGAGTATTATTTTAAGAAACAGCAGGGCGAGAGAGACAGCAAATACTCTTCCTCTTTAAGCGTCTTAAAAACAACTTACGCTAAGTTCATCATAAGACATTGCACTTTTGCAGGCTTCACAAAGAACTACTCGCTTCTGGCACTCCACTTCTTCGTGATTTTGAATGTTTTCATTGAGAACGTTGGCACCGCAGTCGAAACACTTCCTTTCGATCTTCGGACACTCATCAGACTTGTGTTTCTGAGAAAATGCATGCATTTGTGCATAATTGGTGATGATCATTAAAAATAAGATATAAACACTAGCGTGGGTTGCAAACTGAAAACAGACAAAATATAATCATAGCGCTTTTTTTGGCCATCAAAAGAAAAATATACCCTGTGTTTCTTCTAATACTTTCAAAACTCCCATTAAATAGGGTGGTTAAAAAACAAAACGCATAGGAAATACACTGAGAGGCAGACATCGGGGTTGGAAGATACACACAAATTAGCTAAATAATTACGTAATATTTACATATTACTCTTCTAATTAATAAAACTAAAAAAGGTTTCAATTATAAACTTACTGATCGAGCGTCATCAAAAACCCTAATTCAGTTAATGTTAGGAAATCTTGAAGCGGGTGAGAAGCGTGGACGAGCGCTGGAGTACCATTCCTGTAGCGAACGGGAAGCTGGAAAAGCGAAAATCTGGATAATTATCTTATCTACCGCGTTCTCGCATCACCAGCTTTCCGCCTGCTGCCCTAGCGGAAACTTCAGTGCACACTCCCACTTCCCACCGGGTTCGTCTTCCTAAATTGACGAACTTAGGGTTTTTATCACGCTCAGCAGGCTTCTGATAGGAGCCACATGAATATTTTGACAACTTAAAAGACTATTTAAATTGTATGTAAACATATTGGTAAATAATTAGTGTTTTTGCAATAATTCTGCCGTCCACCATGGGTGACAGCTTGTTCCCTAAGACAGTGCCTTTCTTTTTCAAACCGCCCTATTTCTATGAAAATTAAAATATTCGCAAAAACTCCCGTGATAAAAATTGAATGAACCCGCAAGGACATCAACACATTCCCAAACATGTCTTTCATCGTACAAAAGAAATCTACGATTCTTGTGAGGTTTTGACCAATGTGAAGCGCAAGTTCGTCTGCTTCTTGCACACGGGTCACGATCATGTCACAACGCCCAGCTCTTATTGGCTGATTCAAAATAATAGTAGGTACACCTAAAGGCATCTAGCGTTTAGGTTTACCAGCTATCCTTCCGATCAAAGCCAATCAGAACTAGGCGTCGTGCTGACGTCACCGCAACCCCGGGGCAAAAATGCAGACGACTTGCTTTCCGCATAGTCATGAGTCAGAGGTGGGGCGGGTACTGAAGAATGGCACCGATGAATCCTGAAGTTAGGTACGTCTCTTTTATAAAGATACTTACAAGGTGACTGTTCATTACTCGAGACTCCGAACTACGGGTTCACAACTATTTGTTATGTGCTTTTGGCTTGTACATTATATGCGTTTATGCAAAAAGCTTTGAAGAACATATCATAACACATTTTCTCATTGTATTCGTTGTGAATTACATTATTGTAGGGCATCTCGTCTGAAGTTTCAAGTCATTCTAGATGGATACAGTCAGGTAGGAGTAGTACAAGTATAAGGTACAGTGATGCAACTTTTCTATACCAATACAGATGGAGGAACATTTTAATATTAAATACTTATTAGTCTCATTTTGCTTTCGCAAAATGAGATTTGTTAAGAAGGATTTGATATTATAGCCAGCAAGAGTTAATTATTTAATAAAGTAATAACTTGCTTAAATGTGTATACGCTATGACAATCTATGTATACGCTATGAACGCTATGTATACGCTATGTATACGCTATATATGTGTGACGCTATGTATACGCTATGAAAATGCTGGTAAGCATTTTCGTTAGAAACCAATAGCTTATAAAAATATCTTACAACGAATGATGCCTATGCGTTGAAGGCTTCATGTACCAACAAGGTGTGCTTTTGCAGAACGACCGATTGCCCAACTTTCTTGGACTATAATTTATAAAGGTTGCATGAAGTCGCCGATGGCAGTTCTGTGAGAAACTATTTGTGCTCGTCTTCACTAGAAGTAGGTGCGAGAAATAAAAGTAATGTTTCCAGAAGCTTAATTACTTTTACTTGAGCGCGAATCTCAAATGTTAGACGAAATTTGTCACAATTCCAATGTTTTTTCCATTCCTTTTTGAAATTTTCTTTAAAACTAGACATGTCTGAAGATTCACCTGCTCAGCCTTGTTTTGTTATGGTACACCCGTGAGCGATATGAAGGTGAACAGCCCTCTTCTTGTTTTTGACGCTCCTGCAAGTTTTGAAATAAGCTCTGTTCCAGAAGAGGGCTAGAACGCCAAGTTTAGACCCCCAAGCCACGTACCATTTGAGACGTTGAGAGTTAATATAGCTTTAGGGAGCCGTAAAACAGGCAAGAAACCAGGTAAGGGGTTCACCTTCCTATTGCCGGCGGGTGTACATGCCAATAAACACACAAACAGCAAATATAAACAAACAGTTACCAATGCACTCCACCGAGCTCAAAGAAAACCAACCAGCCATGTTGTGTTCTAATATATTTGTTTTCTGTATTTCAGTGCATAAAACCATAGAAATATTATAATGCACGCGAGAGGTCCAAATGGCGCTAGTGTGCTGTGGCAAATTGAAGCAGCCAAAAACCAGTCGAAAATTGACTTCCGGTAATGCATTTCTATGGAAAAAAGTCAGTGCATTTTCTCCTTGCGCTTGAATATAAGAGCAAATATCACGAATAATTCGTGCGCACTAGATAGCCTGGAACATTTTTCAGTCAGGCAGACGAAATCATTGGTCAGTTACGATGTTTTTCTTTCCAATTCATTGCATTAAAAACGGTGCTAAAGCGGCTTCGTACAGGTATTTATGTGCACGGTCGGACATTGTTAGCGCGAACACGACGTCGGCGCTTTTCATCATGGGGGACAGCAGTGCCAAACGAACGAGGGACATCTGGAAAACTAAGAGAGACAGCAAGAACTACCACAAAACTTAATCAACACCTCTCTATGCATGTACGATGAAAATAAATTAAACGCCACGTAATATAGTCAGAAAACAACATTCGAGTGTGTGTATGTATATACAGCCTAGAACTTAGTATGCCACAACGGGCGACTTGTCTCCCAGCTATAGATGAGAAGTTTAGCCAGTGCAGTGCAACCGCTAGCCTGGGGTCTTTGACGTCCACCAAGCAGTAGTGATACACGACCGCACGCCGGTACGATGCTCATCCAGATCGAAACGGACAGCGGTGGGGATTGAACTCAGGATCCCTAGGTTCTGCAGAGCGAGCTTTCGCTCCACGTGCTCCAAGCTGGTGTGCGCTAGCCCACCAGTGGGGACTTCGCGACGGCAGCGGCACTTGCGTCCTCTCGTACTTTTTGCCGTGACTTTAAGCACCAACCGCAAAGGTCGCGACATCCGATAACATGACAATTTGGCTCTTGTGACGTCAATTTTTGCCCTTCGGGGCCACTTAAATATTTTTACATCACGCACTCCGTAGTCGTCTATAGAACTCATACCCTATCGTTGTTGCTTCATTATTTGTTACAAGGTCACCTATTTTCCTTTACTCATGAAGAACCTAGTCTTAAGCTTTGTTTTAGCGATATATGTAATGATAAGAAATAGAGTTTATCACAAAAATATCTAGACACGAAGAAACAATCGTTCCAACAGCTAACGGCTTGTATTTATTTTATTCACTAAGCATCAGTAGGTTTACTTGATTGGCATAAGTTCGTGAGGAAAGCTAAAAAAGTTAACTATAATAAGATTAAGAAATATTATCGAGCAGTTTCTCTGAATCTTCTCAGTAATCAAAGAAAATATATCGTTGTACGCATCAGCACTACTCTTCGAAGTACAAATCATTTTAAAACTTTGCAGTATCTATAAATATTGAACAGCATTTTTCATTAAGGATGTCGCCGTGATTTTACCCTGAGCGCGGAGGTTGACAGGAGCAGGTTTTCACTGTTGATCAAATCAGCATTAAGAATAAACGACATAAATGTTCGTTTCGTTTTTGTATAGAAAGACAGTTCGGCATGCTATAGTTGCCGGTATTCTTCAAATAAGATATGGGTACCAAGCCATGAGATTATACTGAGTTTATCATTTGATTTTGAACGAGCTTGAAAATGATGTGTTACGAGGAGTCGTCTTCACCAAATAATGACCACACTTGGTGGACATTAAGTAATAAAAGTGGCGAACTAACTAAATTTTGTTCATTAACATTCAGGTCTCTTTATGGGTCACGTTGCAATTGCAGTATTAACGGCAGTTACTAATACTAGAGAAATGAAAATAATTAGAAAATAGGCATTGATTTTTTTTATATATATAGATTAGCTTTTACGAGTTCTTGTCCGATTTTAAAATTTCGCTCGTTAAGAGCGTCTGAAGTTTTCCTGTAATGACACTTAGAAGAGTAATGCAGTCTTATCAACCAGGTTGTCACTATCTCGGTGGCGCGTACTTGGTGGAGCCGCCGACAACACACTGCCGATGTGGTATCGACGTGACTGATACGTACCCTACTCTTCTAAGCGGGCGTTGTTTTTGCGCGCAATTTTGAACCAGGACTTGTTTTTATTATTTTCTTAATATCATTGGCCATCCTGTGTACATCTTAACAAAGAAATAAAAGAGAACTAGAGAAGTCTGAAAAATTAGGTTCTAAAACACATTCTGGGCAATATTTTAAGAAACAGCAAGCACTTACGCCAAGTTGAGAGTAGGTGACTGAACTGTTGCACGCATCACAAAAATCTACTCGCTTCTGGCACTCCCTGTCCAGGTGATTTTCTAGGTTTTCGTTGAGAACGTTCAAACCACAGTTGAAACACTCCCTTTCGATTTTCGGACCTCCGAACTTTTGTTTCTTAAAACTTCTTAAACCAGAGAACACACTGGCGCCATCTATTGGGAAGCGGTGCACACTCGGCGGTCCGGCATACTTTTTTTTTTTTCTCGCGCATTCTCCTTTTTTTTTTTTTTTTGGCTCGAAAAACTTTTGTCAATGTTATAAACGAGCCTTTCTATGGGTATTACGGACGTTTGACCTCGGAAATCCCGCAAAACCTTCGCTCTTGTGAAATGCAGTTCCAGGGTCACCGCATAGATGGCGCCACAATGTCAGTGTGTTCCCTCATTCTAAAAACATTTAAGAAGTTTTAAGAGATCTCGTCTCTCTCAGTCGTACTCGGTCGCAAGAGTGTGAACGGGCCTTTACATAGCATATTGACCAGGTTCACGTAGAACTGATTGTTTGATATATAACATATATAGACCCTTCCTGTGAATTGATATCAACTACAAAAATAATTTCTGTGACCTTAATTAAAAATACCCAAATCATTGTTAAAAAGATCTGTGCCTAAATTCACTTCAATGATATGATCTAAATTCTTAAACTTTGAATTATTTATTTTATAGCTACACATTTACATGGTAGGTAACGCAGTAGTTAATAGTTTAATTCAACAATTTCAACATTTTCTGCCTCTTTAAACAAAATGGGGAACGATGAGCAGTAAAACTCGCAGTAAATTGTACGCTCTCGACACAACAGAAGAGTATGCTTGGACATTATCTTCCGCTGCACAAATAAGCCGCTGCGACAGCAGGTAATTGGGCATTCTTCGTGGTGCTTCTGGAAAATAATAAGCTCTTTCATACTGCTTTTGTCACAAACTGAGTTTTTTGAAGAAAATGTTTCCCGGAAGCAAGGTTCAAAATGTGTCTTACTTCCTTGAAATATATGATGTTCGCGTCATCAAACATCAAACTAGCCATATTTTTGTACGTATATATTTGGGACTCTTCATTTGATCTGAGAATGGGCTGGTCATATTTTTCTTTAGTTCTCTTTAAATCAACAGTGCAAGCGAGCTGATCATAGACTTTTAAAGTAACCCTGGACACAACCCCTTGCATCATGTTTGTTTCGTAGTAACTTACCTCGATTGCTTTTGTATATACTTTCTCAATCGCCTTTTCTGCCAGAAAAAAAAACTACTCTTACGAACTAAATTAAATGTTGATACGCTCCTGGCACGCTCAAGTGGCAACTTGCTTTTATTAGTAGTCAAAGTAGTTCTTAGCATATAGGTGACCGAAGTCACCAGGCTCGATCTAAAATAGGCCGTATGAATCGGCGCCTGCACGTATCAATCTAAACTTTTCATCAAAAATATATTTTATAGGTCCGTTTCTTCATGTAAAAATCAAGGCGTAGCTCCCTTTCTGTAAAAAATGGAGCCAAAAACGTGCCAGGGTCAACAGCTGGCAGCGACGCAAACGACCGAGTCGAGTGGCGGGGCGCATCTGGCGAACGTATTGATAGATCGCGCTACCTCCTTACCGAGACTGCTCGCGACGAACGTGGTCCCAAAAATGAACATGATCTTTTTTGTAATATACAAAAAACTTTAAGTAAAATAAAATACGGGGTTACATAACGAAGGTGCTTTTGCTGCCGACGGATTTCGTCTGCGTGTCGTCTGCTTTCTTTCGCTGGCCGGCTATCCTTCCGACGCAGCACCCGACGCCATCTACCAATAGTATATACCACTACGTGAGCCAAACGCGCCCTGCCACTCAACTTTGTCGTCTGCGTCGTCGTCCGCTGTTGACCCTGGAAAGTTTTTTGAAGCTATTTTTTACAGAAAAGGAGCCGCGCTTTGTTATTTTACATTAAAAAAACCGAACTGTGGGATACACCTTTGACGAAAATTTTAGATGCCTATGTGCAGGCGGCGAGTTTTACGGTCTATTTAGATCGAGTCTGCTGACCTCAAACACCCCATATATTCCAAGTGTTTTCCGGGGTACCTGAAAGTTCCGAAATTATCAAGCCAGCGCACGCATCTTTAGGATGTTTAATTTTCAATACCTTTTAAATCTTCTAGAGTGTACGTGCAGCAGCGGAGTCAAAATATTTATCTGTAGCATTAATGAAAGAATTAGATTGGACAGGTTTATTACAGGGGAGCTGTTAAGGGCTAGTTTACCCAGTTTCATGCCCGTGGACAAATAAATCTCAACCCAACGCTCTGGACAGTTACCGCCAGCTATATATGACGGCGGCCACCAGGCAACCGGCTTGCCGGTTGTCTGGTTGCCACTATCGCTCATGGATGGCGGCACATAGTACTGCTCCGCTGCTCTTCAATCTTCACCAAAGTGGAAAGGCTGAAAGTATTTTCTAATATATATTGCATGGCCCCGTACAAGGTTTAGTGCATAGATATTCCGCCATTGGTAAACCTTGTAGCGCCTTTGCCGATACACCACACTCCAAGATTTCTTGAGCCAGACCTTACCTCCAGTCTCTTTTGTGTGATTTCGTTAAAGCAGTTATTGCAACAAACCAAACTTACTGGACAAATCATTTTCTCATGATCCATCGACTCTTCCTTGAGCACTGACTCATGATCGTCTGAGAACTTGAGCTCCGCGCATTTTAATACGTGTTTCTGAAAAAATGAAAAATTAGTCTGACAATTTTTTAGGCTGAAAATAAACGTTATTGTTAAGCAACACAATCTTTTCATTGCTTGAGGCAGGAATGCTTCAAATCACAGTCAGGGTTTTGTTTCGGAAAGGGGGGGGGGGGCGCCAATAAAAAATTGCTGTATGAGGGGGAGGGGGAGAGAAGGTCCCAGAAAAATAAAAGATTTGGGGGGGGGGGGGCGGGCCCTATGCCCCCCCCCCCTGGCTACGTACCTGAATGAGAGGCATCTTCAAGGCTACCTTACAAAAAAATAATTTGAGCCATATACTACCCATATTCACTGATACCATAAGTCAGAACCATAAGAGAGATTATATGCCTGCTTTTTAACAAAGGACGCACAAATTAACACCTGGCCATGGTTGTCTACAGTACATTGCCTGTCAAATGGCACAGAGCTCATTGTTTTCTAACGTCTGTCCAACCACTGTCTAACTAGGAATATTCTAAATGAATAAATGCAGCTCACAGCAGCCGACAATTTTGTTTTTGCGTTTTACCTGCATAATAGGTGTGTAAGACATGGGAGACTGTCATGAACAACTTAAAACTGTAAAGGTAACTGGTAATTATTATAATTTTGAGATTTGTTTTTATATGGGTCGTTTACATGAAATAAATACATATATGCCGTAGGGGTACATATTGACTTTTTAATATGGAACCTATGCTTGCTTGTCGAAGGTCAAAAAAGGCTGTCATTTTTGCATGAGGAATGTTGTTCTCGCCTTTTTGGCACATGTCTCTGATATCAAAATGATGCAGCCCAAAATGATTGGCCTTTAGAGGTCAACTAACGGTATTAAATAAAGGCTCCCAGCAAATGACAAGAAAAAATCAGGCTAAGAAATGTCGCCTAAACAGAGGCAGGGGAAGTGTGCACAATCGCGTCGCAGTTCCCATTCTTTCAGACCCAAGTTACCGCTGTGATTGGTTTGTATTCTTTTATGAATAAAAATGATTGTCTTTCCAAAGCCACTGAAGGAGAGGAATGCCGTAGATGCGCTCACAAAATCTGTGAGTTCACGTCGTTTGTGTTTTCTACCTGTGTCTTTTCGCGCTTTTTAACATTTTACCCAGACTTGTACGTAGCATGTTACAAGTAACAAAATTACTAAAAATGCTAACATATTTATTAGTAACTATGTAAACAAGAGTTACATATTTGCCAAAATAAGTTTGACGTAATTTTCCTACCTTTTTACGTAAAGGCTTCGTAGTAAAATTGGACGCTTTTATTACAACACCCTCTAAATCTTCTCCTCTCCTAGTGCTCTCTGAAGCAAGCTGTCGTAGGTGGAGAGGCGGGACGTGACATAGTACCATTTTTTTGTCGTAAAAACAAACAAAGAAAAAACGAGTGTTTCGAAAAGTGGTCTCGGACACGTGGCCAGTGCTCGCCTCGTCATACCATTTTTCCTCTCTTTCTGCTTTTATATCCCCCTCCCATACCTGGCGGCCTGTTTTGGTGGTACTACCTACCTTTAGGTTGTTTTTCAGGACGCTGTTTTTACACAGGGGGCATTTCAACATTTCCGGAGTAGGCAGACTTAATTCACTGCTTGAATTGCTTTCAGCAGCGGCCTCAAAAATTGATGAGGGCTTCGACGGCCATCGAGTCTGCTGTAATGAACGGCAAAAGTACCAAAAAATATATATTACTTAAAAAATGGCGTTTAGCTTTGGACTACCAAAATCTACACGTATTTTCGAACATCCAATAAAATAAACTTTTTCGCTGACACCAAGTTTGTGTCGTTTGTCTAAATTTATGTTGTGCAAACAGGTTTCATAGACAACATTGATGCATACACGTATCATCGACACATGTTTATTCAACAATTGATTTCGTTACCTACGTTTCGTCGCAAGATTGCGTAGACACACTTCCCGGCTCTACGAGCACCAATGAGCCGGTAAAAAAGATTGCACAATTTAAAGTCGGTTTTTCAATTCTGGACCTGAGGTGAAACCATTGCGGACACGTCTGCCGTTAAAAAATATGGTATATGAAAACATTTCACCCCTGTAGTAATAAATGTGTAACAGCAGTGATCGCTAGTTTTATTGTGCGCGTGACCTGTTCATGTAAAATGGGATGGTAACGTTTTCACTCAAGTACTAGTTTATTTTATTTTTATATTCAGGTGCTCTTTTCAAAAATAGTTAGCTCGAAAATGTTGATCATCATCCAATCATGTCAAAAATAAAGTTTAGATTTTCTCACGCGAAACTTTTCAGGAAACTCAGCGGTGGATGGTATACAGTCGAGCCCGGTTATATCACAGCCGGGTATTTCGAATTATTGCTTATATCGGACATTCCAAACATCCCATTGAAATTCGCATGTAATCGTATAGGAGCGTTGTCTTTTTGTATCGAACTTCCATGCAATCCAATGGCGGGCACACTCGATATAGCGAACGATGCACGGCGGCCCTTCGCTTCTCCCGCGGTCAGATTGCGCGCGCGGAGCACATAGCTCGCATTGCCGGGCTGGCACACCGCCAAGCCAGCATATGCGCACAAAATACTCGACAAAAAGCAGCTGAAAAAACCAAACAAAAAAACGAGTAACCGTAAAAAAAAAGGAGGCAGGGAGTACTCCTTTACCCCAAAATAAAAGAAGAAAAAAAAGTCTTTGTCAAGTTGAGTGTGTCGACAACAACGGTTGAGCAATCTCACTTTGAACGCATTATCTTTTTTCCCCCTTTTCGTTCACCGTTTTTGCGATGCGCATTTTTTTTTTTTTTTTTGCTTTTCTTTTTTTGCTGTTTGCATTTAGTGAGGTTGCTTTTTCGTTGCTTGCTTAGCTTCATTTTATGAATGGAGCTTTTAATGCAGCTCGCTTTTTCCGTTCTTTTTGTTTTTATAATTCATGTTTTGTCGTTAGTGCTGTGCGAAGGTCGCGCGTCGCGTGCGCGTAAACGATTGCAAACACTGTGATCTTCCCCAACTAACCTCTACTGTATTTAGCGGCTCTTAGTGGATCTATTAGGTAAGATCCCGTTTGTCGCGGCCTTCGGTATTAGCAGAGACGCGCGGAAATTTCAACTAAAGCTTAATTTAACATATTTTTGGATATCAAATTATCGATATATCGAACTATTTTACGACCCCCTTTGAATTCGATATATCCGAGTTCGACTGTATGCGAGGATAAGTAAAAAAATTATCCGCACTTTATATATTGAATTAATTTACAGAAATGCTGGGGTTAATTAAGTACATTTTTCTGCATAGTCTCCTTCCTTTTCGATGCACTTGGTCTAGCGCCCCAAACTTCCGTACTCCCTCCAAGAAAAATGTTTCAGTTGGTCGCCCAACCCTTTACGCTCTTCCCGCACTGACGGACGTCCTGCTCCCCCTTCGTGCATCCAGGTCTCCCGGCCACTTTTAAACTTCTAGATACATCACAGACACCTTTATGTGCATAACACTGTCCACGTATTGCACGCCAAGCCTTCAATAAATTTCAGCCGCTAGCACAACTTTCGACCAAAGATATCGAATCCTTGCTCTCTGGTTTTCCTTAGTGCACGTTGCTAGTGGAGCGGCCATGTTTACAGCGAAAGAGGAGCAAGAAAAATGACGCTATCAAGGTTACACGACAGCGTGACCACAGTAGTATCAACTTTAAGCATGCATGCGGAGGAAGCAGTGTGGAAAATATAAATATTTGCTATGGTGCCTCTGCGGATATTTTTTTACTTCCCTTTCTATTATAATATAGACTGCTATGCTTCCCGAAGGGGTCGCGTAAGAACAGCGTGTTGATAAAGCAGCTAGCAGTGTTGTTTTCCTTTTTCTAAGTGTTTATAAAATATTGCGAGTGCCCTATAAAACATCAAAACATTTATATTTTAAAGCATTTTACCACTCGAATGGTTGGGAAAATTTCACTTGCAAAAATGCATTACTTGCCTGTTCAGAAAACTGTCCTAAATCATGGTCACCAGTCTTGCTGTCGCCAGTTTCGTCAACATCCATAGCCATGTCCGAGAGATTGCCAGTATTCAAGGTGTCATATTTCGAGAACTACGTCGAATCAGCAAAAGCACTCCGTTTTAATACAACGAAAGGTCTGTTTACACATGAATGTTTTAGCTACAATAAAAATTAGTCTGTTTGTTGGGTTTCTGGTGTAATTGCTGCTGTTGTGATTTGTGAAAAAAGGGGGTCAAGTACGTGTCAAGCGGCATTTGTACTGCTTTTTATGGCCTCCTTCCATTATCTAGATGATGGTAAATAAACACAATTTGTAATATTTGGTCAGAATATAAAGTGCAATTTGTGCTGTTTTTTTAAAGTATTAGGGTAATTTTCATTGGGATGTGGTAAGTAATCCGGCTTTTCTCATTCTCACAAACATTGGCGTAAGTATCATACAAGATTTGAATATATAGACCAGGTATATCTACGAATACTTTCAAAGTTTTTAAAACTGAAGTGGAAGGTAAAAAAAACTGGAAACAAATTGTGAGCAACGGCCAACGTCAGGAAGTGAAAAAGCATACTAATTAGCCAACTAGTTAATCGAGAAGCATTTACAAAAATTAATATTTGGTTTTAATTAAAACTTGCCGAGAGTCATCGAAAACTTTAGATCAGTTAATTTGTAGGACGACTCATAGCACGCGCAAAGCACAGGGGTACGCTAGAGTTATCACTCGTGCGGCAGGTGGCAGGCGCAAGGCTAGGGATTCAGAAGGGTGGATAATAATGATATCCGAGTTTTCTTTTCGCGGTCCTTGCGCATGCTGCAAGGGTGGAAACTTTAATGTACCCCCGCGCTCCCCCACGTGCTTCAAGTCGTACTAAGATTAAGTAATGTAGGGGTTTTCGATGATACTCGGCAACTTTGTAATTAAAACCGTATGTTAATTTTAAATATTTAAAATGTAAACGAGTAAGTTTTAGGTAATTGGTTTGACAATTAGAATTTTGTTTTTGCGATTCCTGACGGCCTGTTGTAGCTGGCAGTTTGTTACGCAAAAAATATACTTTTTTTTTTCTCAACTACCAGAATCTTGAGATATTTATCTTTTTAGTAGCAACCGGTACATCTGGAAGAAATAATCGCATCCTCAGTCTGTAGGTCCTTGTTCTGTAGCCATATTCTTTGCTTGTCAATAAAGGTTCGCATAGTGTGTATTCAATTCACTTTGAACTAAATATCTTTCTTGCGATATCTCATTCTGCGACTTAATCTTAAACACTTCCCCTGTGCTTTTCAAATTCCTCTTTAGTCTAAGGATAGTATAAAAATGCTAATACTAGAGGCTGAGTACTCAACACGTGAAACAAATGGGTGCATTAAGACACTCCTATTTGAGCAAATCGTTCCGAATCTAAACGCAGGCAGAAAGTGGAACCGGATAAATGACTTCTAAATGCTTATATTTTACATAGATATGTATAGTCCTCATCAATCTATGAAATAAGAGTAGTGAAACGGAAAATTATACAAACATATGCGGTTTACTGTTGAATGTATAATATTTAGTATTGTCCTGATATTGGCGCACTTGTCACTATTAGAAGAAGTTTCAACTTTGATAGCACCACTCAATATTTTTACATATGTATGGGTTTTGAAAGTAAACATTTTTTGACAGCAATCTGTCTGGTTAGAAAAATAATGGACTGATATATTGGTGTTTTCATTTGAGATCAAGTAGGGCTTTGAGGTAAAATATTTAATTTTGATGAAAAAATATTTGTACTCAAAGCAGCCTTTGAAATGAAAAACAGCGAAAACAGCAAGCTTGGTGGATATTTGTTTTTGTTTATTTTCTATTGATCATTGAAGTGGCCGAGGCAAAAACGAAGCATTCTCCCACCGGTCGGGGATTACATGTTTGATAGGTAGCTACTTTTTCAGTTCTCGAAATAAAGCACCAAGACTCCACTGTACTACACTCTCCAAGTAGATTTAATAAGGTTTAAGGACACAGAGAAATTCGGAATTTCTTAAAATATGAGCTGTAGACTTTTTATGCTTTCCAGCAAGGTTTGGCAAGCTTTTACGTGTAACGTATTTAGTACTGTAATCTTGACATCCCCAGAAACCTCAATCCTGATTGCTCATAATAAATGCAAATTCAGCATGGCATGCGCTCGAAAACGTTTAATACATTTAAGTGAACGAACGTTTCGTAAATTAAGCAAATTCGAAATCGAGTTTCTCAAAAATGCCGTTTTTACTTGTTTCATTTTGATTAATGGCAAGGTTTAATAGTGGTTTATAAAAATATATATATATTGTATAATATGTTGCTTAAATGAGCACAATTAAAGCTGTGAACTGTAGTTTATAAAACAGCACACCCTGTTGCGGACTAAAATGCTTCATACTCAGCATTACACACAATTTTTCGTATTCTTAAGGTCATGGTTAAAGTATTTACACTAGGTAATTATGTATACCAAGCCACAATGCTGGCCGAAACAGCGCCTATGCCACGACGCCGTCACAGAAAACAACTGGCAAGACTCGGCTTTAAGAGGCACTTTTCAAAAGTGCGTGCCATCTAGTAGCCGGCGCGCCAATAAATCATAGGCGAAATTGTTCGAACGCCTGGCAACACTGTGCGCCACCATCTTCGTTGCGTCGAGATTCCTCTGCTGTTTGACAATTTCGTAGCGTTGTCGGCAGCCATCGAGGCCTACTGCTCACCGTCATCAATCCTCGCCCACGCCTGCGAGCTCAGGGTTAGTATTGCTTTAAGCTCTTCTAGCGTATGTACGTGCCCGTCGCCCCGCCGGTCGCTGGTTTCTCGTCTCAACCAACATGGCGGACGTATACTTCAGCTCGATATTTGGCGTTGAGTGCCGGCGAAGGCACGGGCGCCGGCGCCTGGTTTTCCAAAGCACTTTCTCTGCGCGAGTGCTTGTGCGAGCGAACTATACTTCAGAACTACGCTTTCGCACCCTGGCCTTTGCCAGCGCCGAAGCCAACTGGTGAGACGGAGCAGGATTCAGAATTCAGTATTCGGGTGCACCAGAACACTTTTGGATCAGGGCGGTCGCTCCCAAAGGAGCGTCTCAGGCTCCGTTAAAGTAATAGAAAAAAGTACAAAAGAAAAAAAAACAATGTTGTTCCATACACACACACACACACGCGCACTTTAAATCCGATGAGGAGGAAGGGAGAAAGCGAGGGCTTGTCTTCGGTCCAGTGTCCAGTCAGACCTGCCCTGTCTGGGTTCTGACTGTTTTTAAAGCCAAGCCGGCCCAGCTGGCTGAACTCCCGCGAACGCCTTTCCCATCTTGGGAGGTGACGCTTCGCCGCCTCTCCCACTTCCGCTTCCAGCCGTTGAGGCGGCTGGACTGCCCGGTCGTTTCCGACCAAGTTCGCGGTGTTTTCAACGAGTCGCAAAACTTCACTAAGGTCTCTTCCCAGCGTATGGCTGGGTTGCAGGTGCAGAAGACGTGCTCTAAATCGTCGTCCTCGAGGCCACACAGTTTGCATGTGTGGCCTCGAGGCCACACATGCAAACACAGACTCCTCTTCTGTGTCAGCCTCGAAGAGAAGGGAACTTGCTCTGTCTCCCCGGTACTGGTGGTAGGGAGCCGGTGCGTTCTTGTGCTGTCTATATCTGGCGAGTGACTGCTTCTTGCTCATAGCATCTTGCCTGAGAAGCGTTCCTTCTGCCATGATCTCTGATCTGGTCGCGCTGGCCCACTGTTTCTCACTAGTGGTACGGTGTCGCTTTGTGTCCGCACTGAAATTTGAAGCTAGTGCCGCAATTTTTCTGATGCACCCCGTCCTGATTCCCCGATATCTAATATGCTGGTACATTCGGCCCAGCTAGTACCTCTTGGATTTTGCCTCCCTGTCTTCGTGGGTCGACCACCCCATCTCGCCTGTTATTGATGGATTAGCAGAACTGGAATCGGCCCCCAGGTGCCACCTTCCGATTTCGGTTTGGTGTCGATCGAAAAGTTTACAATACGTTGGACCGATAACTATCGCGCCGTTTGCACATACGACGCCTGGAACTGCCATGGTTTTCCATAGGGCTCTCCCCACTGCATATTTATTGTGCGAATGTCTTGCTAGGAGCCACACAGTTCTCTTTACTTTTATTGGATTTCGCTACCACAGCTTCTTCAGGTTTGGCCAGATAGTCGTGCGTGTTTTATATTTTGACTCCCAGCTCTGTGTATTCGGTTGTTTCTTCTAATCTTTGTTCTCCAATGTGGAAGCTCGTCTTGTGTGCTGTGTTGAATGCTACCCACTGATTCTTGCTCATGTCGAACTTGAAGCCGTCTCTGTGAGCCACCTGAGCACACACGTCCAGCAGGTGCTGCATATCCCATTCGGACTCGGCGAGCAGCACAAGGTCGTCTGCAAAGGCGAGGAACAATGTCTTGATGCATTCATGATGTCCCTCCTTGGGGACGGCGGTGAGGCGGAACCCGAGACCCTTCTTCTCTAGCTCAGCGACGAATTCATTCATGTAGACGTTGAAGAGGGTGGAAGACAGCCGGCATCCTTTTCTCAGTTCAGTCTCTATCTTAACTGCCTCAGGTTTTTATGAACCTAAATTGTATAATTCAGTGCAATTGCTGTATAGATTTTCTAGTAGTTTGATGGCTTCAAATTCTAGCACGAGTCGGGATAGTTTAATCAAGCGTGTGTCAATGAGGACCGCATCATGTGCTTTCTTAAGGCTAGGTGGGGCTGTGCATTTCGCATATCGTCTATTCACACTTCAACGTGACTCGTCTGGCAACATCGCAGCACTGTGACGCACTCGGTACTATTTAAACAGCTGTCTTCGCTACGCCACTTGGGGCATGACACCGGGTCCGGAACGATGGTCATACGCGTACCTCTGATACAGGTAGGCTTACATTCACATACATGAAGAGTGGTTGTTTGGGCGAGTTGGTTTGACATCTTATACTATCTTGTGCGCAACAAAGACTAGGAGAAAAGCAGAGAAGAGGACACAACAAGGCGCAACTTTCAACTGAATTTTATTGAAAACGTGTTCCGGTATATATAGTCTCAACCATCGTTACAATGA